TGGACCAATTATTTTTATTTAGTTCAACATTTCAGCTTTAATTTAAAGATATTTTGAAAAAAAAAAAAAAATAAAATTATATTCAAAATATTAAACTAAATAAAAATTGATGTTAAATGACTTAATTTGTTTTTGTTTAATTTATATTTTTAACAATAGTTTAACGTAACTGACCAGTAACCCTAAAAGAAACTATTTTTTAGTTTAATATGCTGAAATCATTAAAACTTAAATTGAATTAAAATATTAAAATCATTAATGAATCACATAACCTTGATATATTATATGAAATATTATTTTCAGTTTCGGTAGTTAACAATGTAACACAATAATATTATTTTTAGTCATGAAATAATTAAATATCTAAATTCAACAAATAATTCTAATTCAACAAATAAATCAAAAGGCATTAGAAACCGTAGTTATTATATAATTATATATAATTATTAATATAATTAATAATTATAATATAATTAATTCATCTTTAAACTTCAAAAATGAAAATCTCTGTTCTAAAAAACGACGTTACGCATACGCTATGTGGTACTAAGTAAAAAAAAAAGAAACAAATGTTAAACAACAAAACACAAACCTTTTTATAAAATTTAATAATTGAACAATTGATACTAAAACAGTTTCTCTTATTAATTTTAAATTTTTTAGGTAAAATTTAATAATAGACATTAAACTGCTATAAAACATAAACAAAACAAGCAAAAACTAAAACTGCCTTAAACTATGCAACAAATATTTCAATAAGAACAAATTAATTAATAACTTTTAATAATAAAAATAATAATAAAATAATAATAATCAAAATATACAACATAAAAATCTATTCAATCGTTTTTAGTAAAAAAAAAAAACAAAAATAAAAAACGTAAAGTACACTGCTTAAAATTATGTAAAAACTTTTCTGCATTTTTAATGATTTAAATTAAATTCACAAAAAATAAAATCATAAAAATAGATTCAAATAAAATTAAAAAATAAATTCAAATAAAATTAAAAAATATATGAAAATAAAAAACTGCTAAGTCAATTTGAAACGATAAAATTTTTAAGCTTTTTTATTCAGAGAAAATATAATAATTTATCGAATAATTTGTATGAGAAACAAAATTAAAATATAAATTGAACTGAAGCTGTGTTCGTTTTGCGCTTAATTTTAAACTTTACTATATAAATATCTTTAAACGAAAATTTATTATAAATCAATTCAGAAAGTAAAATTAATTTAAACTATTTAAAAAACGACCAAATAGTAAAAAAAAGAAAAACAAATTTGCAGAACCAAATAATTATAATAAACACTATAATAAGTAATAATTATGACGTCCAATATTTAACAAAAAAAAACAAAAAAAAATAATCAAATAAATTTGTAACCGCAAAATAAATTTTTAAATGCGATATTGAAAAATTTCGTAAATTGCTTTTTACTTACCACACTTTGTGAACGCATAATTGAAAAATAAAAATGTCATTGGCATTGTCCAATTTAACGAGCAACGGTGTCGATGGCAACACAATAACCACAATGCAATCAACAACACCAACAACCATCACAATCGGGCACGCAAATACGAATACAAATACAAGCAATACCAATATTGGCAACACTGAATTGAATGTTGGTGTCATGCCGGCCATTATAAATTTGAATTTGAATGGCAGCATTGGCATTGCACCCATGAATAGCAGTAATATCAGTGGCAATGCAGTGACCGCATTCGTCAATGGGACTGGTATCATTGGTGGCATTGGTATTGCCAGCAATGATAACAACAACAATATGGATAATACAAGCGAAGAGTCCAATCCGGTAACAATTTACAGGTAACAATATAAATTAAAAAATAAAAACAATGCCATCTGTAAATGCAATTTCCACGTACGCTTGCACTCGTTATTAAAATTTTTTTTCCAACTCTTCAGATTTATGGTATGTATTTTTTTTTTTTAATACAATAACCATTTAATTGTTCAATTAATCTGAGACAAAAAAGCTATATGTCACAATGAATATTACAAGTGTCATAGATAAAGAATACTAGTGATAAATATGCAAAACTATTATTATTACTCTTTGTGATATCACAACGGTGGATACATAACCGAACATAACCTAACCTAACTATTATTACTTAATAATAATATTTGCATTAAAGATTGGGTATTATTTTTGAATAGTTCTTTCACCAAATAAAAAAAAATTTTGACATAAACAATCTATCAGCTGAATATAACTCGAGTTCTGTTGTGATGGTAGAAGCCTTTATTCATAGTGTAAAATATAATAATATATTCATTAATTAAAAATAAAATGTAATTTACTATTGTTCAAAATAAATATAGTTTCTTCAATCATAATATCATATAATTTATCATAAAAATCAATTTTTTTATAATAAAAATCATAACCATTTTAAAACCATAAGTCAGGAATACTTAAGCTAGCTTATCTACCGATTTAACATCGGATTTTAGTATAGTCAGTTATTTTAAGCAACTTTCATAATAGTTTGGAATAGGAAGATTTATATTTTCAATTAGTTTAACACATTTTCTGTCATATTTATTATTATTATGTTGAGACTAGTTGAGTCTGTGCACTTTAGCGCTTTTACTCTTTATTAACTGCCAGGTTTTTTCATAAACCCTCTCTACGCCTTGACTGGCCTATTGTTTATCACTTTATCAGACTAAGCACTAATTGACCTCAGATCTACACACCTCCCCGAGGAGTCATATTTATATTTATTAATATTTATATTTAGTTAAGCGTTAGAAACTATTTTATAATTGAAGGCCAGTGACTACGGTCACGACTTTATTGTTAATTATTTTAGTACTACTACAAAAAATTTCAAGTATATCTGTCCCTTTTTAAATTTAATGTCGCGTTTCCATCTAGAGACGCTTTACTGCCGGGAGATATTTTTTCTACTCTGGATCTCGGTCATATAAAGGTTTTTGGCAATTGTTGCATTAGGTAATTATTCGGAGTATCTGAAAAATCTGAGTATATCATTGATATTATGCAAACATCTGTTAAAGCCTTTATTGTGCAGTGCAATTTAATAAACGATGTGAAGACTCAATAATATGCATACATCTGTATGCAAGTTGATCGCATTATATTAAGTAAAAATCCAGCATTCTTATTTAGATGTCCCGTGAAGTTATCAGTCTCCCGCTAGAATATTGAGTCTCCCGTTTAAACGTTCCTGTCGCTGCTGTAGAGTGTTGAGAAAAGTGTCTCACATCTACTTTATTACTTTGCTAAGCATACATATTAGCTGCTACTAGTATACCATATTCTAATAATAGTATTATATACTATTCTACTAATTGCTATTAAAGCAAATTTCCTTTTTGAGAATCGTGACCAACTCCAAAACCTATCCCCTAAAGAAACTTTATAGTTTCTTTAGAGGTTTTTATACCTCTAAAGTTACTTTACGATAACACAATAAGCTAACAGTCATAACTAAGTACATTGGATCGTAGAAATAAACTAATATAAACTAGTAGTTTGAATCATTCAGTTTTTATAATTTTTTATAGTTCTTTTTCTAACATATCTGTGTACTATGATATCTTCGATTTAGTAACTCTTCAATGTAAAACTTTATTTCGAAAAGCTATATCCAAAATCCTGAATTTCAGATTATATACATTTAGTAAAATAAAAACACATATTTGCATATTTATGAAAGCCCTTTATCATAAAATTAATATAAAATAGTCCACTCAATTTCTTTTTTAATTTGCATAGTGTTTTAATAAAGCACAGGATTAAGCAGTTAAAAATGTCAAAATATTCATAAGTCGCTTAATAAACATTTCTCACTTTCATTGAATAATGACGGCGTTTGTTATTATCAAGAACGCTTTTTATAGATTCAAAGAGCTTAATTTATATTAAAATCGATAAGACGGTCTTTCTGCTCAAAGGTAAAACATTTAATCACACATTTTGTATGCAACACTGCCAACAGCAGCAACAATAAAAGCAACAACAACAAGTTGAGTTGGTTGAGTGTTTGTTGCATGTTGCCGAGTTTGCTGCTATTGACTATCGCTGCTAATTGCTTCGCGTCATGCAACGCAAAGCGCACATCGCACAAAGTGAAAATTTAAGCGGTAGCTGTTTGTGTGCCGCCTCCGCATGCAACAGAGAAAGCCAAATATTTACCCACATACATACATATGCACATATTCATACAAGCGTAATTGCATATAAATCCTTCATATGGATAATATTCACACGTTATAATGCAATGCAAATTTAAAATGTAAATTGCAACTTTCAACGTGCAACTGCAACACAAATTGCAGCTGCTGTTGCTTTAGTCAACTCTCTTTGTTGCTGTGGCTGTGGCTGTTGCTGTTGCTACTACAGCTGCTGTTTGTCGTTCCTTCGGATTGCGTCCATACAAATGTACGTTTCCACAATATTATTTGACCCGAAGAAAACAGCAACGACAACAACAACACCAACAATTGGAAGTGCATCCATAGAACACATTTGCATGCGCATGTGAGCAAGTAATTATACGCTTTAAAGGTAGCGATTTTTCAAAAATTCGTTTTAATTAATCCAATGGCAAGTAAGCAAACTATGTTGGTCCGAAATGAAGCCAACAACTCTAATTACCTTCATAAATGTAATTTTAAATATAATTGCATTGCAGTAAACAAACTGCAATTGCGACAACAACCACACAACACACACCTAGCAATGCAAATTGAAATTGGTTGCGGAACTATAGTCGGAACTTCATTAAAAAAGTACCAACGTAAATATCCTTGACGCGAATGGATAATTGTCACATTGCCCGCTTTAATTAATTCAGATTTATCGTTTATCGCATTCAGATTATGACTAACAGGACAGCTGCAAGTTAACTTATGTATACCTTGTCCATTCGACTGTCTCTGATATTGAACAGTGAAATGTTTTTTATTTAAAGATATTTACAAAAGCTTTAAGCAAAGTTCTAATAAAA